GGCCAAACACTCCAACATATGGAGTGTGCGGCCGCACTCTTGAGTGTACGGCCACACACAGGTGTGTGCGGCCGCACACCCAACCGCACACCCATCCCAACCGCACACTCTCTCCTATATATACTATACTTATCATTTTTGAACACTTTTTCCACTTCTTCAAGGCTAGAACTCGTTTTCTCTCAAGTATCATCCAAATCTTCATCTTGATCTTCATAAAAGGTAGAAATCCTTCCTTTTATTTGTTGATATACGACCTTAACTAGCCTTTCCCTTGGCTTTGATCCATGAAAACATCCATTTTTGGCCAAGAACACCAAGAACACCAAGAACCCGTGTGTACGGCCGCACACACCAAGTGTGGCCGCACACACTGGCCGCACACACACAAATAGTGTGTGTTTTGACCATACATTCCCTTGTATAGGCATATACCACTTATATACAATCATATATGGTTGTAGCACTTCAAAATAAGTGTTTACTAGTCCCTAGGGTGGTTTCAATCCAATAATTAGTTGTTATAAGCACTAATTATATTCACGTATGTGACATTATATGTTAAATAGGATCCACATGTGTGCTCAAGTCCTCACTTGACACTTAACATCCTACATCATCCGTTCATCCAAACCACCAACTACAGGTGAGTTCATACCCCTTAATTAACCTTTTAAATGTTTTTAAATGCTTTTATGGGGGGGGGGATACAAGTTGAACCATTTTAGTTATTATATCAATCGCATGTGATTAATAACTACCAAACAAGTGGATTTCTTCCCTTTCAAACTGTGTTACCAAACTGTTTTACTTCAACTGTTTTACAAACTCCTTTTCATGTCAAATACTTTCACTTAAACTCTTTTATGCTTATATATAGTCAAATGCATGTCTAGATATGTATAGTTATATAAGTAATGTTTAAAGGACTTAGGAAGGCCAACTCGCTTTAATTTCTTTTCCTTGTTTGGATGTGGCTTTGGGGCATTGGTTATCCGAAGGTTGTTTAAATATTAGTTGTATATCATGTATACATATGTAGTCATAGAAGTTCTTTCATTCAGTTCAATACCTTTGGTTAGCAAAGGTATACACACATGTTCATATACACAAACAACATTACTAGTAAACTATAATAGGTATAGTTTAGGAAGATACTATTACTAGAACAATAAAACATACGATGAGTCAGTTCATTCATGAGTAATACATAGTGATGAGAAACAAACATAATACATAGTGATGAGAAACAAACATAATACATAGTGATGAGAAACAAACATAATACATAGTGACGAGAAACAAACATAATACACAGTGATGAGAAACAAAACATACAAGCTAGACAGAGAAAGAACACACAACACAGCTAGCACATACATATACATATACATATACATATACATTACTTACAGTTATGTGAGCCACTTAACGGGGGCATGGCACTACCTGTCATGACCCGTTTTGTATCCAGAATCTCCTTAAATGGGGAGCGTATGAGTTTGTGTATAGATCTATACTGGATTGACTATCCTACACCTTGCTGCTCGCTACAGTGGGACTTACAAGTCTACGGGTGCCAAATGTCATTTCTTACGGCGTCTTACATCGTCGTTTTACTATTGAGTCGGTAGCAGGATACAGGCCGATCACATGGTACTTTAAATAACAATTGGTTTAAGGTAGTTAGTACAACAGTAGTTACTTAATACAACACTACAATACTATAATATTTTCCCATTACATTCACTTCGTGAACATTCACACGATGCACAGTAATGTAAAAACTATATTTTTGGTTAATGATAGTCGGATTTGGGGAAATACACACTTTTACAAGAGACACACACACACAGATACTAGATGTCTTGGTAGAAGGCTACTTTTAGTAGGAAACATAGGGTTTTCTAGGAGAGTCAAACAAATACAAACTTTACAAACTTATACATTACAAACATCTTACAAATGTTTTCATAACTAACAAGACACCAATATACTTATGATATCACCAGCTTTAAAGCTGATCTACACTTTCAAAATAACTTGTATTCTCAGGTCACCAGTAGACAGGTACCGGTGCCAGGTTTTTGAGAAGACGGAGCTCGTTCAAGACTCCCCTTTCATTTTGATGTATATTACTTTTGGTGTCTATATAACTTGACAGAACACACTTGTATGGAATTATATTATTAATGCAATGGATGATGTTGTTGCTTGTTTACTACTTTGCATTGTTGTGATACTGTACATGACGTCCTCCACCACCGAACGATTCCGCCGTTCCGGTTTTGGGGTGTGACAGATCAGGTAAATGGGTCACACGGGTCCAATAAAGCCAAATCAGCCCAAGAACAAAAACCCAATAACAATTATGATTTATCTCAACCCAATTCCAACAATTGCAAAAAAAATGTAATTGTTGTTGTGACAAAAATCGGAAAAATAGGGAAAAAGACCGATCTAAGGTGATTTGTTTTCGGTGTGACAAAGCGGGTCACTTTGCCTCGGAATGTTCGGAACGACTCCAAAAATTACAAGAAGGTGATTTTTCGGAACGTGACGACGACAACGAGTCCGTATTTAAATATGGATCGGGTTGAAGAGTTCTCTAGAAAGACTTAGAGATTCGGGGGTGATTGTTGGAATCCTAAGTCAAGTAGGACTTGGAGACCAAGTAGGAATGAAGTTTTAAACAAGTAGGTTTAAGAGTCCTAGTCTTATTCTACAAGTCGGTAGAATATAGGGGTATATATACATTGTTAGAATCCAGTTATGATCTTAGAATGTAGGACAAACTAGTTGAGTTTTGAGTTATTTTTTCAATTAATCAAAGAGATATTTTGATTATTTGTGTTTCTATTATCTTAGACTATATACTTATTGAAATATCTTTAAATCGGATAGACATTAAACGGAACCATACCAAAAAAGGGACTCACTCATCGACAACTACCGGAGATGCTGGTAATTAGACCGGCAACCGCCGTTCCCATTCCCGCCGGCTGCTTTACTCGGGGCTGTTGTCTCCTTTCGAAAGCAAGCAACGTTTTCGTTACCTGGTACTACTTGCATACCTACATCTTACGTATGAAGGTTTGCAAGTAGCCTTCGTAACTACTTGCAAACCTTCAACATTTCTCCCATTCAACTGCAATCGTAATAACTACATACATTCAGATTTTGCAAATATAATGTTTCTTTGAGATTACTCTCGCTACAGCTATTACAAATTGTTAGATGTACGCACCTAAATTTTAATTTTTAGCTGATAACGTTGAAGATAATGTTCTAAAAATCGTTAAGCTAGGCTGATCTTATTTTGTTAATCGACTGAGTATAGGAATACGATTACGAGAAATAATAATTTGACAAAGGATGGAATTAGAGCTTCCGCTGGGCAGCTGTTAGGTCCTGTTGAACAGGCAAAGCCTCAGCTGTATCATCCGTTAGAGGACATTTCAGATTGTGAAGAATCGGATGAGAATGGGGACGCCATACTTAAACCTGCTGAAACTAGTCGGACTATTATCGAGGTAACTTTCACACACACTTTTTTTTTTTGTAAACAACAACCCAAATTGACACTTTCATAGATGGAAATTGATCATAAGATGTTATTTTCAGACGAACAGCAAAGGTTTGCTTATGTTCTCAGGTCTGGTCAGTGATGAGGTCTATGAGAATGTGTTCTTGCCTGATTTGCCTTATGTTAAGGGTGAACATGGAAGTAAGTTCTTCCTCACTCCATCTTTCTATTGTGATACCTATTGTCTTTTTTTAATATAATTATTGTCATCTCTTCAGATATATATTTCCAAGTGAAGAATGATGAAGATGTTCTGCAAGCTCTTGCTTCTGGGGATAACCTTGTGGTAAGATTAAGAAACATGATCAGATGATCTGTTGTTCTAGTGAACTTTTGTGAGAATTAAAAAATAATCAATTAACAAACTAAGTCAATGCAGCAAGTCATAATAGGCTTAGACACCACAGAAATGGTGAATGAGATGGAGTCATTAGATCAATCAGACGATGATTCTGATTTTGAGGATGAAGATAGTGATTTTGAAGATGATGAAAGTGACAACTATGGAAAGGTGATAACTGATAACTTCATTGATTTTATTTCTCTTCTTTCATGTTCTTGATCATGCTTATATGTTGCAGGATTGGGTTTCAGTTCTAGATGATGGGGATGAAGATTCTGATAGGTCCCTTGGTGATTGGGCAAAATTGGAAACCATGCGTTTGTCCCATCCAATAGATTTTGCTAAACAGCTGGCGGATGTAAGCATTATTTACTATCAAGTGTTGTTATGAATCCATAAAAATTTTCAACTTTTTTCTTTTCTTTTCTTTAGTTTGTATCAGAGGTTCCTATAAACTACATGGACCAGCCTCCTTCTGGGATTTCTATTCATGGCCTTCTGAGACCTGCATTTGTTGGAGAGAATTCAAAACAAGAATTGCAGAAGGATGAGAGCTTTGGAAATGGGACTTCATATTATAAGTTAGAAATGATCAAAATGCAATTGATTTCAGCACATGGAAATCAGGTATTTTGTGATTTTAACATACTACCCTTGACTTTTTTTTTTTTTTTTTCTTCCCCTCCTATTAAGTCCTCTTTGTGTAAACCTTCCATAAGGTCTCTTTTCTTTTCTAGACAGAATAAAAATGAGACTAAATGACCATTTTACCCTTAAATGATTTGGTAAATTTTATAGGCTTATGTTGAAGTGGAAGATTTTAGCAGGTCTGGACCCGATGCAGTTGCACATTCAGCTGATAAAATAATATCTCGGGTAAAATCTGGTGGAGATAAAATGACACATGCTTTTAAATCGTTATGTTGGAGATGCAAAGGCATTCAAGTGGAGGTTATCTACTAATCCCTTTTATCTTTGTATTATAATTATTATTATTATTTTTTTTGATGTTTTGAAATAAAAAAAAATGCTTTTTACATGATATATATAATTTTTATAATTTTGTTGTTGCTAAATGCTAATTGTGTGGGGAAAATTATAGGAGGTGGCTCTTATTGGTGTTGACAGCCTTGGATTTTACTTACGAGTGTGTTCTGGTAGACAAGTTGAGACATTACGGTTCACATTTAAGAATCGGGTAATTACTAAACCTCATTTGTTACACAGAACAGGTTGTACTGTGTTTGACTGAGACTGATGCCAGTGGGAATTGTGCAAAAGTAGTATTAATGTTTTGGTGGGATTGCAATGCAGGCGTCCTCAGAGTATGGTGTTGAGAGCCAGTTGAATGGATTGCTCTTCCCTTTAACCATGAGCCAGCAGCTGAAGAAAGAAGTTAAACTATGAGTGGTATAGCATAGAGATGTAAAATAACTAACAAAAACAAATATCTTAATAACATTTAATGATTTATGACGTGTTAAGTGATTTGTTTTTTACATAATCAGTATTTTTAAATTACATGGTTAAAGATATGAAGATATAACTAGTTACTATACATTTCATCAACAACAAACCCCAAGAATTTCATTAGAGTGGGACAGATGATGTAGATGAGATGTCGACAATCATGCCTCCACCAGGGGTGAGACAGGAAGACCTCTGACATGAGCAAAATGGAAACCTCTACGTCTGTCTAACGCGTGCAATGTAGAGTGAACAATCTTATGTAAACGCTAAACCTAAAAGTATGACTTGTAAATGAGTAGGAACACAATTAGTAATAGATTTTTCTTTTGTACATAAAAATAGTTAAAAACTCTTCTATTTATATTTAGTTATTTAAATTACAAATAATTTTTTTTCGAAGTTTTCACTCTTATCAATTGAAATTCGTGAATTGCTCATCTATCGATACAATTTAGACAATGTCAAAGTACATACAAATCCATACGGAAGAAAAAGACCCCTATGTGGGTGGTTGTCCAGAACGTTGGCACCCCTGAAACGAATATATTTCGACTTAAAAAAAAAACATTTTTATTTTTTAACAATATTTTTCTGAAGTTTAAAATTTTATGATACACTTTGTAAGTTTCAAATGTATTAAGCAAGACTATAAAGACGAATTTAAACCGAAGCAAGAGTAAAGCCACGGGTCTATAGGACACCTTTTTGAATTTTGATCCATACCAAACACAATTTGACCAAACCTTGGGGTTGAGAACTTGAAATATTTTTATGTACGTTTAATGAAATGTTTAAACTATTATTTATTTATTTAGTCTTGTAAAATATATTTATCTATTAATAAAATGTTATCATTATTACTTATATATTTATATATTTTTGTTTTATAATAAAAAAGTATCGAATAAGAATCACCCAAATACTCTTACTAATACTGTCTCTATTCGGAACTCAAAGGAATCTCTTGTTATAAACTTCTTATTCTTCTTAACTATGGGATATTTTAACAAAAAAATGTTGTAAAAAATATTGAATTCCACCAATGCACTTGTAAACTAAGGCCCAAAATAGAAGTCTTGAAGCCCATTTACTCTAAAAAGGACGGGCTTCTTCTTTTCTTTGCACACCCAACCCAAATTATTCCTATTTATTTATATGTAATTCTAGGGTTTCTGCCTTCTGGTGCTGCGCGGATTGTAAACAGGAAATCGCATCCTCCATCTCTTCTGATCTCTTCCGCCTTTCCGAGCAGCAACCATGGTAATTCTACTTCTTCTTCATAATTCTAACGCCATTAGTAATCATCACTAGAAAACAATTCTTACAAGGATTTCAGATTTTATACTCACTTCTGTTGCTATTTTCAGATTATCCCTGATAAGAATCGTAAGGCGATCTCCAAGTACCTCTTTCAAGGTCTGAAATTCTCCCTTTTTGTACTTGTATTCATGTAATTTGAGCGTTTCATGGTGATTGACTGTTGGTTGGCATCTATATTTGTATGTAGAGGGCGTCTGTTACGCCAAAAAAGATTACAACTTGGCGAAGCACCCGGACATTGATGTCCCAAATCTACAGGTGATTAAACTGATGCAGAGCTTTAAATCAAAGGAATATGTTCGTGAGACATTTGCTTGGATGCATTATTACTGGTACCTCACCAACGATGGGATCGAGTTCCTCAGGACTTACTTGAATCTTCCTTCTGACATTGTTCCCGCCACTCTCAAGAAGTCCGCCAAGCCCCTTGGACGTCCCATGGGTGGCCCTCCCGGCGACCGCCCTCGGTAGCTATTCAAACACTCTCTCCATCTTCAGTTTTTAGGTTTTATCAAGTCTTTGAATTTGTTGTTTAATTTGTGTTTGTGGTTACTTACAGTGGTCCGCCAAGATTTGAAGGAGACAGACCGAGATTTGGTGACAGAGATGGATACCGTGGTGGACCTAGAGGTCCTGCCGGTGAATTTGGTGGCGAGAAGGGTGGAGCACCGGCTGATTACCAGCCTGCTTTTAACAGGGTAATTTTTTTCAAACACTTTGTTTGCATTGATATTAGTTTACTTACTGGTTTTTGAATTATCATACTCAATTTTTGTGGTAGAGATTTCAATTAGGATTACATATGAGGTATAACATATATATTCTCGATTTCACTTAGAATTGTAGTTTCATGAAAGTTTGTTGTCTACACCAAATTCTTATGAAGATAATAGAGGAATTCTTTTCGAATTCATTTCTAAACCGAGCCAAATCCTTAATCATAACTGTATTTTTGGCTTGATGTTTTTCTCAAAAATGTAAATTTTGTTTGACTGTCATCTTTTTCTTTTCACATTTAGTATGTTTGATACTCATGGATAGAAATAATAATGCTCTGTTTTGCATTTTCATTCTATGTGCTGCTGTATCGTTTTTAATAACTAATATATGAAACTACTCAACATTTGTAAAATCGTTACATATTAGTAACTAATAAGTAATACTCTGTAAGTCTAACAAATACAGTCTACTGAAAATTTCAGGGTGCTGGTGGAAGGCCCAGCTTTGGCCGAGGAGGTGGTGGTTTTGGAGGTGGTGCACCACCAAGCCCAAGTTTTTCTTAAACATTCTATTTGTTGCAGTGTTTGCAGACTCTAGTTGAATTCTCTAAATCTTATTTCAGTTTCTGTAATGCTGTTTTTTGTTTCAGCTATCATAGCAAATGGAGGTTATACAATTCTACAATTTTGTTAATTTTTGACTTCCATTTTTCACTTTGATAATCTTCTAAGTTTAAAATGCAATTAAGATTTTAAATGGAATTTCCTTTTTGTACTGGAACCCTTTGGTGTCTGGTGAAAAAAGTTTGCCCCAGACTACAGCGGTTCCATTGCGTTTCTCCATATGTATTCCATGATTTTTTTTGTTTTAGGTTTTATTCAGATTTTAAGATTTTCTTTTTATCTTCGTTATATTTTCAACCAAATCCCTTTTGTAAAGACCTCAACCTGAGGGATCATATTCTCTAGTTGGGTACCAAAGAAGTTGTTCATAGAAAGGTCTTAAAATCCATATCTGAAATAATCTGTATTAAATTGTTAGCAATAAAAAAACTAATAAGGGATAAATTGTTAATCATGTACTTACCTTTAAAGCATATAAAAAGCTGTTTAGGGTGTAGGTAATATTTTAAGGTTATTTCTCTACGGTTCGGTTTGATATGCTTGTCAATTTTTTTAATACACTAATTAGGTGTGGTTAAAGTTGAATCCAAATTATCCTCCTAGATTGATATTTCTAACAAAAAAAATTCCAAATTAAATTTCTACAAAATATTAGTAATGATAATAAATTCCCACATGATATTTGTAACATAAAAATAATCTCAATTTAATTTCTAAAAAATATTAATAATGATAATTAATTACCCTTAGTTATAATCCGTAATCATAAATTAACAACATGATGTTGAATTCATCAAGGTCGGTTACCAAAGCGAATTAGGTAATTTAGCTAATCGCTCATTGAACCCTTCTCAAACAAATAAAGAAGACGTACGCAAACCGCATCTTCGTCCGATAAGTCATTAAATGAATGTTTAAACACATTTCCTATACTTTGTTTTGGAGGTCCGATGACAAGAAAAAAAAATTCTTCCCGAAAGACAGCTCGTTACCCCCAATCTCAAAAACCATTTTCTCTATCTCTAGTTCTAGAACAGTACTTTTCGGAGAAAAATCATATTATAAAAACAAATAAACTAGGCTTGGGTTTATCATAATGCTCTGACATCTTCTATTAACTCTGGAACATTGTTATCTCATTCCGGATGATAAAAATATAAAAAGAAATCTTAAGTTGTAGTAAAAAACTTACCCGTAAAACAATCGGGTCATAATGATCGTCTTCCATATCAAAGTGGCATGTCTTAGATCAGAATCGGAATCGAAAATCAGAATCGCATGTCGGAGATTGGAATCGGAAAGTCGGAGCTAGATCCGGAATGAAGTCGAGATCCGAAATGAATTGAAGACTTCATAATATATTCTGGAATTTGAAATTCTAATACGAGGTCCGGAATACGTACGGATACTTCGAAGTTCGAAATAACCATTCCGGGGGAAACACAATGGGTTGGCACACCAGAATACGAGTCCAAAATTGTTTCCGAAACGGCCCACTCCGAAGAAAATGATTATTTAAAAAAATAATAATAATTTAAATGAGTTATTTAAAAAAAACATACAAAAAAGTGGTTGGTTTACTCAATTTCCCTTTTTTTAACACATGTATATTTTGTTGGAGTGTGTGAGTGAACATTAGATAAAAACATGTTTTTATCCATCTTTACACTCCATCTTCATCTATCGGATCATGCCTTAATGGTTAATGGTTATTTTTTTTGAACGATGGTTTAATAGAAACATAAGATTGAACATTTGACCTCTTTGTCAGAAACACCTTGTTAGCCAAGCGGGGCTAATGTGAACTTGTAAATATTATGCAACGTCATTGTCAGTTCAACGGATATGGTTTTTTTACAACGACGAATTGGTATATATTTGAGATTGAACTCGTGACTTTCATGTTACAAAATACATTGTTAGATACCTTGTTAGCCAAGTGGGCTAGTCCCAACTTGTCGGTTCAAGTATTAATAACATAGACCACTAGCATAACTTTCTATCTGGCAAATTTATAAACAATAAATCAAAACCATGGTAATGTAGAACACTTGTTATAAAATGACAGTTGTGAAATCTCCTCAAAAGTTTTGGTCAAAAGTTTTACCTAAATTTATCAATACAAAAAGCAATAGCATATCACGATGGCTAAATAAATGATGATGATTTTGAAAGTAATTAGTACGCATTGAACCTAAATGATTTTGGGAATTTGATGGTCATTTGTAGTGATGAGCAAAGGAACAGACCCGGCTGGAACCGGCCCGAACCGGATCTGGCTCGCGAACCGAAGTCGGCCGAAATTAAGAACCGAATCGGACCGCCGGTT